CGTTGTATGACCGATATAATAAATGCTATGGACTATCATTGAATGTCAACTTCTGCATCTATCGATGACGTAAATTCATCAGCATTATTTGGCTAGTGGAGCCCAAGACAGTTATGTCAACAGCATCTTCTATCTAGAAAGGATTTGCGTTACGTGAAACTAAAAAGTAGTATAGAAGTTGTTTGACCTCGTTTTCGCAACTTGGTCATATTGGAAGGAAGACTTAGAGAAACGCACCTAGTCCGGAGTCCATTGGATGCATGATCATTCACAAAGTCTAATCGTGGATGTGGTACATTCCCAAACGTTTCGCTGGCATCGTAGTCGGCATCGTCAGTGAGTATCGCACCATACTAATATCAAGTCTATAACTTGCCATGCCCTAGTCTCTTGTGTGCCAGCCCACAAATGTTGTGGTTCGACACTGAACCAAATCAAAACAAGCTATACCACAACATTTGTGGCTTGGCACACAAGAGACTAGGACATGGCAAGTCATAGACTTGGTATTAGTATGATGCTGAGAATGGCGATACTCACCGACGATGCCGGCGAAACGTTTGGAATGCACCACGGCCACGGTTCGACTTTGGAAATGATCATGCAGACAATGGACTCCGGAATAGGTGCGTTCCTCTAAGTCTTCCTACTAATATGACCATGTTGCAAAAACAAGGTCAAACAACCTCTAAGAATTATTAATGTTTAAATTGATGTACTCAAAGATAGAAAGGGTGTTGAACCGCATGAGAAAAGGAGGCGACTCAATGAGTCTTTTCTTGTCATGGTTCTAATTGCTATACCTTTTCGTCCACTCCTTCTCTCTCACACAAGGCTCATCAACTTAGCCAGACGTGTGTCCAACATAACGAGATTGGAGTGATGGTTGAGATATAAAGAAAAAGGGATTGTAGTGTCATTAAACCTTGATGACCGATAACAGACTTTACATTACACATAAACACACATGCAGACACACGCACATGCTTCGAGATTGGCATAACTTGAACTTACCTAATCCCTTTACACCGAACCCACTGTTTATGCTCTCGATCTATTCACAATGTGTTTATTCCTATACTCTTTGCCTTCCTTATTGGATCGGACTCGATCCAGGCCTCTTTCAGATTATCTCCTTCCGCTGAGGTTGCCTTAAACTCTCCTCTCGGTTTGCACTTATTGCCAGAGTGTCACTCCTCTGGCGATTTGGTTCCTACCAAACATATGACTCCCGTCACTCTCATGACGCATCCGCTTTACCAGCAGCAACATAATATAGAAGAGAGATCACATGGGGTTGATAGGCATTGTCAGCAATCTAGCCACAAAACAACTTCACACAATCTGCAATGGGAAAACCAGCACAGCATTGAAACTCAACAGCACTGTGCATATCCTCAGCAAGAGGCTCAACAACAAAGTGTACAGGTCGGTCAATATCTTCAGGCCTATCAGCATCAAAAGAAGCAGAATCAGGCAGACGAACAGTCGTTTGGAAAGCAAAAAGGGTATAATCCTCGAAAACTGCAGCAATGCAGCACTGACAGCGGCAGGAACTATCAACACGATCAGCACGATCAGCGTGATCAGCAGGAACTGAAGAATGAGTGCCGAGTCCAGCTGGAGGAGCATTTTCGAATGTCATTTAACAAAGAAAAACAGGAGCAACATCGGCTTCATCGTGCATGCCAAAAGCCTGATGAGAAGCAAAAACTATATGATCAACACCAGGTCGCTGAGGGATCAACTCTTAAATGTCACCAGCCAAACCAAAATTATATACCCTGCTCGAATTATAAAGGTATTAACTCAAGATACCTCGATGTTTGCGACTACTGTCAGAGTCCCGACTGGAGACCCGATGCTTCAGAAGATTCGCATTCCACCCGTCGACTCGAAGAATGCACCACTTCGAGGTTACTAGAATATGAGCGCAGCAGATTAATGCCAGCCCCACATGATCAGACTGAGCAAGACATGGTCCACGCTCTGTCTTGGAGTGACATTTCTGGCCAGCCAAATTGCAAGTTGCTGGCTAAAACCCAGTCTGCTGCAGTGTTGGTTGCGGAAGATGTGGAAAATGACGAAAAACGCTTTGGCCCTGGCCAAAAGCAACTGGCCTCTCTTATTCTGGCTGAAGAAGAAGTGATGAATAACTGCGATTATGTTGTCAGGACCATTGATCAGACCTCTCCAGGTTCGTCAAAGTGTCACATCTTCCACCAGAACGATCAGATTGTAGACCCGTGTTCTGGGCAGCCCTGGGACTGGCGAGTGAAGTCTGCTAATCCGGGGACTTCAATCGCCTCAGATTCCTCATTCTCAGCTACTCTACCGTTTGAGGCTCCGGTATTTTACCACACACAACCCGGTGGGAGCGATATCTGCAGGTGCAGTCAATCGCAGTTCCGGGACGGTCGCAAAGGTTCGCAGCTGCCCCTGAAGGATAGTTTGCAGCAAACTGAGGAGTCCTGTTCTGACGAAGTCCATGAAATGAAAGAGAGACCTTCAAAGGCCAGAATGATATACAGAAATCGTGCCATTTGGTAAGAGTATGTATTTTAATAATGAATACTTTGGTTTAATGATTAGGCTTGTTTATACTCAGTATGAGAATGTCTCTAGACTACCAGATTTTATTATGTAAGCAGATTTTATAGACCACCAGTAAATCAGTAATATGAGATGTATTCACCCTATTTCGTTTAAGGTGGTAAAGGACTGGTAGTAGAATTTTCCCACAATGATGAGTAGAGCGGGAAACGTCAGCTCTAATACATATCAGATTTATGCAAAAATATGAAGACCAAGATGGTATAGCCGCATTCTTCTTTCGGTGCATAAAAGTTGTCTGACCTCGTTTTCGTAACTTCGTCGTGTTTTCTGGACGACTTAGGTGCACCTTGCCCGAAGTCACCTTCCATCAAGTCCACGGTCCGACACTAGGAATTATGATAATTAATAATGCAGAGGACTTCGGACAAGGGGCGTCCAACTGAGTAGCCTTGACAACACGACTAAATTGAGAAAATGAAGTCTGCTAACTTCTATCATATTTACGTTCTGACGATAGAGCCTTCACCACAATGTTTAGAACCATACTATAATTACTATAAATGTAATTAGAGAGAAGCTTAGCTTACCGTGAACGATACATCTGCCCTTTGGCCACTGACACTCATGGTTTTGTAGCGAACTTGAAACGTATCACTGCGATGCGCATGATCTGATTAGAAACTGCAGTCGTGTCTGGATAAGAAAATTTTTTTAGGAGGTAAGATGGAAAAAAAATCCATTATCTCTGTTAACTTAGTCCTAGTATAAGTGTTGAGTTGGTGTGATCTTATTTTCGCAACTTAGTCGGGGCGACAGGGTAGCCTTGCGGAATATACTCCATTCTGTTCTTTCCATACTAGTCGGGATGATTTTCAGTATCTAACCGTTAACTCAGTACATTTCCAAACGTTTTTTCAACATCGCCCTTGGAACAAAGTTATAATTCGTTAGAGACAGATAAATAGTCATTTTATTCAACTTTCTGTTCAGCAAATGGCGTCTACCAGCAAGTTTTGTAAAATTCATAGAAGTTGTTTGCTCTTGTTTTCGCAACCTGGTCGTATTGGTAGGAAGACTTAGAGGAAGGCGCCTAGTCCGGAATCAATCGTATGCATGATCATTTCCAGAGTTGGACCGTGGACGTGGTACATTCCCAGATGTTTCGCCGTCATCGTAGTCGGTATCGTCAGTGAGTTTTGCCATTCATAGCACCATACTACAACTCGTCAGAGTCAAGTGAAGCCGATCCTTTGACCAAACGTGTGCTAAACAGTTGTGGTATCTCTCCTTCTGCCCCAAGCTATTCACATTTACTATATCCTTGTATCACGCAATTACCGCTACAATTTTTTACCGTGCTTATTTAGATGTAGTGCCCTGTGCCCTTTTGAGCGGCATTCATATGAACCCTCCACACTCCACGCTGGCGTCCTCACTCCCGACTAATTCGAAGCTAAAGCCTCTGAGTAAGTCTCATGGTCAAGCCTTTGCTACATGGACCACGTCTCTGGAATGTACCAGTCCACGATCCGAATTTCGAAATTATCATGCAGACAATGGACTCTGGACTAGGTGCGTTCCTCTAAGTTGTCCTACCAATATGACCAAGTTGTGAAAACAAGGTCAAACTACTTCTTTACAACGAAAGGAGACTGACCACACAAAAGGTCACATCATCTTGGTCTTCATAACTTTGTAAAATTCAATTCGTTTATGCAGCATCAACATGTTATTTCCTCAAACTTTTCAGTAGCAATTTGGGCTCTTCTTTGAAGCCGTCCAGCCATCTACCGATGCCTGCTGCCGCATCTTCAAGGCATCAAGCAGCCCATCAAAACTGTCATAGTCAATACATACAGGACTGTCAACCGGCAGAGCCCAAACAAGACAACGCCCATGAACCAGTTATTCTGCTATTAACTTCCAACCTAAGTTCTGAGTCGACCGATTCAAGCTTGCCAAGCACGAATTCGATCAGGACTACTGCTGCCATGGCCTGTGCTCAGGCTGCAGGGTTATCCTGCCACGGAGTATCCAGTTGGAGGCCTAGTCAGGTAGCCAAGTGGCTGCGATTCGCAGGAATGGATCATTTAACCGGACCTGTTCTTTCCAGACAGATCACTGGTAGCAAACTGGTCAGACTGCACAGACGCGATCTGCAGGTGTGTCCTTATGCACTCTAGAATACTAATATTTTTGTGTTCAGTCCCTATATTAGCAAGACTATTCGTACGTAGGCCGACTTTTAATTAATTTATGCCTATATTGCCATTAATATCAAATCCTATGTCCATCAGAACTATCTCCCGCTAACCCAATTCTGCAAGGGACCGACGAAATTAAGCTTCATGTTTAGTTGCCCAATTGATTCACCCTATCTTGGAAGGATGAGCTATTTGATAGGAAATGTGAACTCTTCATGTATTGAACCACCTGAGAAAAGGAGGCGACTCAAAGAGTCTTTTCTTGTCATGGTTCTAATTGCGGTCACTTTCCTATACCTCTTCGTCCACTCATTCTCTCACATATATATATATATATA